CCCCCCCATTAATTATATGCGGCGATTTCAACAGCTGGAATACCATCTGGGGCTCAACAGTGAACAACACTCGCGGTACTGTTTTAGAAAAGGCCTTTTTTCAAAGCAATTTTTGCGTTTTAAATGATGGAAAACCAACGCACTTCTCAACTCATCATACTTTTTCACATATTGATTTAACATGTTGCTCTCCATCACTTCTTCCTTTGGTGTCCTGGTCTATTTCTGATGATCTACATAATAGTGATCACTTTCCAATCATAATCGATCTTAAACTTTCAACGTCCTCTGCTACTCCAGCAAAACAGGCCAAATTCCTCCTAGATAAAGCGGATTGGATCAATTACTCCAAACAAGTGGAGTCATTTTTGAATTGAAAGCCATTTAACGGAAACTGCAACCATGATGCTGGTATTATGTCTAAAGCGATTCGCACGGCTGCTCATCTTTCTATCCCTCAATCCAACACCTCTTTTAAACGAGCTAGGGTTCCTTGGTGGAACAACACGCTTTCGTTTTTGAGGAAAAATAAAATGGATCTATGGCACCGCTTTAAGAGATGTCCTGATCAAAATCAGTTGTTATTATACAAAAAGGCCAATTCAGGAAGGAATTACGGAAATCAAAGGCACTTAGTTTCGAACTTTTTTCGAGACGAATTCACAGAAATACATCAATGAAAGTTGTCTGGAACAAAATCAACCGACTTAATGGGACTTCAAACCTGAACGAAATTTCTGCCATCTGCACTCCCAATGGAACTTTAACTGACGCAGATGAGATTTCTAATTACTTTGGAAAAGTGTGGTGCGAATACTCCTCTGACAGCAACTTCTCCAGTGCTTTCATTGATAATAAAAGGACTCCAATATCTCCTCCAAATAATATCGATAGATGTGCCATGTTCCTGGAAAATTGCGTATCTACCTCAGAACTTGGAAGTTGTCTCTCCAATTTGAAGGGGAAGACACCTGGTCTAGACCGCATCTCATACCAAATGATCAGTGCTATGTCTAAGTCTAGTAAAAAGAAATTACTGGACCTATATAATACAGTATTTATGACTGGCCATATACCCTACATGTGGAAACTGGCAACAATTGTTCCAATTCCAAAGTCAAAAAATGTCTCCATCGCATCAGATTATCGCCCAATTTCTCTTTTACCTTGCCTCTCTAAGGTATTAGAGAAGATTATGGCATCTAGATTATCTTGGTTTCTTGAGTCCAAGAACCTGATAACAAAGCAACAAGTTGGTTTCAAGCGGGGTAGAGGGTGCATCGACGCTCTGTTACATATTGATTATTTCACAAGCAAAGCAATTTCCGAACGAAATCACGTAACAATTCTCTCAATTGATTTCGAAAAAGCATTTGATAGAGTTGGTCTTCATGTTATCTTAAGACTCTTGAAATCATGGAATGTTGGACCCAAATTCTTCAACTACATCAAATCATTCATGTCGCATCGGCGGTTCAAAGTTAGAATCAACAATCATCTTTCTGCTTCCTTTCCGCTAATGAATGGCATTCCGCAAGGATCTCCTCTCTCTGTCATGCTTTTCCAGATCGCTTTCAACGAAATTAGCAAAATTCTTTGCCGTGTACCAAGAGTGGAACATTGTCTCTACGCGGACGATGTATACATTTTTACAAAAGAAAAAGACAACACGAAAGCAATCAACATCCTCGAATCTATTGCATGTGAGATCTCCACATGGACAAACTCGTCAGGAGCTATAATCTCTATACAAAAATCAAAAAAAAATGCACATTTGTCGAAAACAAATGTGCGATGCAGGAAACCTACTGATGCATATTAACGACTTACCAGTACTAAATGTGCAGACGCTCCATGTTCTCGGGCTCACGTTTTCCAACAATTATCGTTGGAAAGCACACTGCCTTCGGTTAAAAAACTCCCTTTTAACAAGGGTAAATTTCATACAGTACGTTGCTTGGAGAAGCCATGCGCATATTAACACTATCGCTTATCTTACCAAAATGCTTGTGTTAAGCAAGATTGACTATGCTTTGATAATTTATGGCAATAGCTGCAAATATAATATCAACATCCTTAAACCGGTCTATCACCAAGCCGTTAGAGCAAGTTGTTATGCTTTTCGGACGACGCCCATAAATAATATTATAATTGAAACTGGTCTCCCAACTTTAGAAAATAGACTGTATGAGTTAAAAGCTAAAATAGTCCCTAAGCTTCTTAATTCAAACAAATCCATTCTCGGTGATGACGTAAGAATGATTATTATTGCGAAAAAAATTCCAAAGTCACCATCTGCAATTGACCATTGTTTGTGCATCGCAAAGGAATTGAACATTCCCTTAAAAATTTCCCGCTCTTTTGGTGTTAAACCTCCCTGGATTTTGAAAGACTGCTCTTTTGACATCTCACTGTCTATGCACTAGAAAGAAGATACTCCAAATTACGTCTTCAGGAATCTAATAGCTTAGAAAACACAAGTATTGGACAGTAATGGTTGGAATCTTTTGTACACAGACGGCTCAAAATCTCATGGTCTGCCTCCTGCTTGTGCGGTGGTAGATGCTACAGGACGGGTTCTTCTCAACCACATATTTCACGAAAGCACTTCAACTTTCATAACCGAAGCCAGAGCTATCCTTCACGCTGCCAACCTTGCCCATAAAAACAAACTCAAAACCGTCATTGTTACCGACAGTTTGTCTGTATTACTAGCTACCCGGAACCCTTCGACTTCGAGATGGAGCACCATCAACAAATTAAGGAGTATAATTACTACACCCGACGGAAAAATTAAAATGTTATGGGTACCAAGTCACATCGGTTTAGTGGGAAATGAGCAGGCTGATCGAGCGGCAAAGTATGCTGCTTCTGCTCCTCTAATTATGGATGATGTCATGGAAAAGTTGGATCTTCAAAGTTACATTGGAAGAAAAGTTAAAGAGAAAATTACAGAAGGAAATTTACAACACCATCATCAACACTACTCTTTTATTAACCCTCAATTAACTCCACCTTTATATCCAACAAACGTTGAGAAAACCAAGATCCAAACATTTTCGAGAATTCGCCTTGGTCATACAATTGCAACTCACCAATGGATCCTGAAGAAGTCTTCTCCCCCAATCTGCTGTTGTGGACAAACTCTTACTATAAAGCACATTCTCTGCGACTGCCTCAACTTTTCCTCGGCTAGAAGTATTGCATTTGGAACGATTAACCCTTTGAATATTCTACAATCAACTTCAGAACAGAATATCAATTCAATATTTTACTTTTTTAATTCTACTAAGTTCACTATCTAATATCCATTTATTTAAATTAGAGCCGATAGCCTGTGTTGCTAGTGCTGAGTGCCCTTTTTTTAGTCTAAGAATTCATTTCATTAGTCTAAAATTAAAATAATAATAATAATAATAATTACTTTGAATTCACTCACTTTCTTCTCAAAGCATATTATAAATTTACACACAATAAGGCAAAATAGCGACGAAATTCAACAAGAAATTAAAATATTAATTGCCGAAACAAAATATAGACGACTATACTGCGCGACAGAGTTGCCAAAGTTTGGAGCTGTTTTGAAATTAATAACGATGTGCAAGTTACGTTTTCCAAGCATATTGTATAACACCGACCGCTGAGTTAGTGTAATGACTTTAGACGAACGTAATATTAAATTTTTATCAGTTCTCTAGCGGAGAAATGGATTGCAAAACAACCTCGTGGTATTCGGAGTAGCGCAATCCCAAAAGGTACTCCACAAGTGGAATGATTTTACCTGCTAACATTTCAGATCTAGGAATTTGATTCCGTAAGGAGATGAGATCATTTAGTGAAAAAGTTTGATTTTGCGTAACATAAGCGCAAAGAATGCTAACAGAAAAAAATTCATTAATATACAGGATACAGTGTATGAGCTCCTCGAAGATCGGATGAAATCGGCAAAAAAGTATGGCTGATTTCTTTCTTAATAAGTGTACTAACGCTTTGGTTTGTGTTATCATTACAATTGTTGTCGAAATATATCCTAAATAAGTTGAGTATAGCCCCGTATTTAAAGGATGCGGGGAATTATAACTAAGACACGTTTCTGTGGAGCAGTATCTTTGATCAATAATTGCAATTCGTTTGAGTTATTGTAATAACCGTTAACATTTCATTGAAATGATATACGGCGGGTATAAACAAGGAGTATATATACAATTGGCTAATCATTTCGTGGTTCGGTTTTAGTCACTTAATTTCAGTAACATATGTAAAACATAACTGTCATGCCGATTATCATGTGTTTTGTGGAGCTTTTCCCATTGATTAATATGGATTGTTTAATAGTCACTGAACGCAGAAATAGTAGAAATTTAGTCGAAAAATGATTCTATGATGGAGTAGGTTCGTTTCATGCATTCCAAGCGAACGATTGTCGATATAACCGAAATTTAAAGAAACTGGATCTGTAACACATTTGTTAAAGCCAGCACATCATTGAAACGCATGCTCGACTGAAAATATTGGTGCTGTTAGTAAAGCCTCCACGAAAAACCAAACCGCGCCATTACACGGACTGGATGCGGGTCTATTTTACTATAGATTATGACATATTTTGAATTTAAGTGAACAAGGTCATCCACGCCACCACGCACTGCAAAAGTGCATAGCATGGATCACTTTCCATGTCGTACAACGAGGCAGACTAATTGCAATCACAAATATATAGCTCTTTTTTTACCTTAATAGACTGGTGACTTGAGAATTACATTAGTTTTGGGTGCTATATAAGTGGGGACCTTAAATGTCATTTTAGAGATGGTATTGTTGTTGCTTAAAAGCATATGTGTTGTATTGTTGTATCTACGATGTATTTAGTGGCTTCATAACGATTCTGATGTGGAAAAAATAGGCAAAATAGATGCTGGTATCGATGATAAGAATGAAGATGATGATGATTTGGACGTTAAACACGACGATAATAGTAGTGTTGTATTTACGTTATCTTGTTGTTTGTCATTACTGCGCGGAGCGTCCCTGTTTCTAGACGTAATCGTACCTTAACACGCTAGTGTTTGATTTGGTAACAAAGTATGTCTCTTAGAGGATTCTTTCATAGAGCATTTATTTTTAATTCTAGTTACTAAAATCTCCTTAGCTTCTTGGTGTTCAGCGCCCAAATTTGTGACGCAGCTTGTTTTGGTCCTGCACGTAATTGTAAGTTACTCTTATGTATAAAATTAGCATATTTTGTTTTATTTTATTTCATTTTCGTTTATAGTAGGCAGTTTGTTATTCTCTTGCGAGTATTATAGGGAAGCTATAGTAAGTACGGACGGAGTGGAATGGCAATACCACATTCGAAATAACTTAGTTGAGGACTTTCGACTTCCTTCTTCATGACGGACCCACCGTCAAGGAAAGACATAAAAACTAAGGCAAATTAAAGTCAGTTTCATTCCATAGGATTGCCCGATCTAGGTGTCGTATTCGAAGGAGTTGGGTCTGTCTGTGGACAATTGACAATCGATTATTGATTTATGTTATGTATAGGTATTCTAAGTTTAATGTTTTTTGGTTAGCTTTTCCATGGGATAAGTGAATCCATAAACCGAGGTCAAGTTATAATGTCAATCGAGATATTAGGGTTTTTTTTCTATTAAATTATTAAAAAAGTAAAATCACGAAGCTAAGAACAACTGGAATAGCCGGTGAGGCTAGCCCCTGCATCATTCAATTCAAAAATTAGCAACTTTGCAAATTATGTGATGCAGAATTATCAGCAGAGCCGCTTGTGAAATGGTATAAAGAAAGATTGCAGATATTGCAGATAGGAGCTCCAATGCAATGTTTGGCTGTGTGACCCAATTTTTGCATGTCTTGCAAAATTGGAGGTATTCTTCAACATTAACTGTATGATAAGACATATCCAAGTTCTCGGACAAGTGAAAACGTTCGAAACATAGTTGTATGCTTGGAAAACAGCGTGGGAACGGTCTTGCCTTCGGGAATGTTCTTGAGACGAGGAGTATATATTCTATCTTCTATGGTGCAAGTTTGTAGTGATTTTGCATATTCCATGTAACTCTTTAAAGTTTATGAATTGTTTGGTGACATCGATATTAACTAGAAGTAGCAAACTTTCATCTCTGAGTCCGAATATGTCTCCTTTTATGCTTATACCCTTGAGAAACCTAATCGGGTTTTCTCTTTCAACACATGAAATAGCGATGCACTTTAGAATTTCTACAGGAGGTAGGAGGTAGGTATCGTACTTTTTGCCTCCTCTGGTGCAATAAAAAAAAACTAAATATTATAAAGAGGTCAAAAAGCTGCGATGCTGTAAATAGATGAACGCAGGCGTCATTGGTGAATTCGTGAGTTCGTTACTTTTGTTTAAGTGTGTTGGAAGCATTTTGGTACTTATTTGACCATATAAAGGATTGGTGCTTTTTTAGTAATGAGATGAGGCATTTTGCAATTTTTGCACAATCCATGATGAATCTTCTGTAATAGTTGCATAGTGCAACGAATAATTTTAAATTTTGCGGGATCTATTTGAATGCTTTTTTTATTATAAGATGTCCTGAGTATACTACATATATATGTACAACTTCTGGTCTTGGACGTTAGTAAATTATGTAATTTTTTTGGTTTCTTTTGTGTGTTTTATAAATGTTTAAAAGCCTTCACGTCGTGGGTAACGAGGCCGAGGACGACATTCCAGATAAGAAACGAAAGTAAGTGCTGATTTTAATTTTCATTTTAAAGATTAATAATTATATAAATATTAATATAAATAATTATATTTCATCATACGACGAAAGGACAAAAAGGTTTAGAAAGAATCTGCGTTCTGATTTCTTGGATTTGTTTAGGAAGCAAGTTGGGATTGGTCAACCATATAAATAGCAAAACCTGCAAAATTATTATGAGCTTGAATTGTTCCATGGGAGAAAATTGCAGCCGGCCAAAGGGAAGACCGATCCAATTCGGCCACGTGAGCCCGAAAGTGAAGATATGGATTAAGTTAGCTCAATTTTCATTTTTATTTTTATGGCGTACTTAAATTTTGATTTATAGATCGGATTACTTTTACTATCAAAACTTTTATTAAAAAACTTAGTTAGTTATAGAAATAAAAGCCAACATTTTAATTTGTTCCTTATATCTTTTATCTCAAAACAATTCGATTTTCAAGTGCAAAAGATATGCCGTTTCTTAGTCACCTCGACGCGGTCGTCAAAATAAGATGCAGGAGCTACAGCAGTCAAATCCGGAATTTCATATTTTGCATTGATGTTTGCACAAATGGTGTGAAAGGCTGCATAAAGATTTGCGAATTGAGGTTTTTGAAAAATAAATGTAATGCTACCCTTTAAATACACCAATGTACCACTCAAAGTTCTTTGCCTTATTCATATAATACCATTCCACCTAAGGAAACAAAACAATCAAAACAAACAATATGAAAAAAACTTAAATAAGAAACAAAACGGAAGATGACTGACCGAAGAAGCTACGAATCGAGGTGGATTTCAGGCCCACTCATTTAAGTTACTCCCAGATGCTTCTAAATTGAGGTGGATAACAATCACAATTAATCAAACAGTTTTTGAAAATCTTCTTGAAGTGGCACTTTATAAAAGACAACACAATCGTAAATTTGTCAAAAATTAAAAAAAACAAAAATATTTCCTTACCATATGTTTCACATTATAAAATAAATGAAAGATATAAATATATGTACACAGCAAAATGAAAGCAGTTCATCCAACGGTTGTATATGCATACAATATGCATATATCAAGAGATTTCGTTTCCGATTGCTTAAAAACTAAAAAACATTGAAATAGTCTCAATGCTAGACTCTTTCTACTCTATGGAGGTAGATAAATTTGATTATTAATAGATGGGATGCTGTCTTGATGCTGAAATTTGGCACAAACAATCAATGGCCAAAGATAGGAGGTGATCTGCGCACCTGTATTCTCACAATGCAGAAGAAATTTATAGTTGATAGTTTCTATGTTTTTCTGGTTCAATTTATAAATGTATTGCAGTATTTCTTTTATCACTGGATTTTTGCGATTGGCAATAGCTTTTTTCATTTGTGACAATTTAACTTGCGTATCGGCTTGTATTTAAGCTAAGAAAATAGTAATGTCCTTTTTAAATAAACTGACCATTTTTTTATAACTAACCTTGGCCTCCTTAAAGTGACGCTCCCTTTCTTGTCGATATTTTTCAATTTCTTCGGCAGCCTCTTCTTAAGCTTGCTTCAAATGTCTGGCTTTGCTTGCAACAGCTTAAAATAAAATTAAATTTTTTTCCAAAACTTTTAACATATACACAAAATATAATCTCGTGGACTTTTTTAAAATGTCTTTTTAACTTATGTTTTCTAGCTGGGTTTGACTATCGTCATCTTTTGAGAAGTACACACGAAATTATGAAATATTTAACAATATTTTTAAATCATTTCTAATTTTGGTTTTACAAATTGTCCAATGAATGGCATTGAAGATCTTAATATACAGTAAAATTTCCTTATTCGAGGGATATACGTTCCATAAAAATGCCGTGAATACAGAAACCGTGAATACAGAAACCGTGAATACTGAATGGTAATTTGTATGGAATTATAGGGGATACGTTCCTAGGTGACAAAATAAAAAAATATCAAATATATAAAAAAATCAATTTAATTGAAATTTTTTTAACATTTTGATTAATTATCTTAAGGCTTAGGCAATGGTTTGAAGAATTGTGTAAGTTTCTCTTGCTTGGCATTTTTTAAAAGCTCCTTCATTTCAGACTGATACGCAGCAGTCGCATTCCCAATTTACCTCGCAAAAATAAGACTTCGTTCCATAGATGGATCAATCTTAATAAAGAAATCACCAAGCCCATTTGCCATTCTTAACCCTTCACTAAGATTTTTCAAATTAAATGTCACGTTTCCAGTGCTTGTTGAAGCCGCTTCTTCAATAGGCGGTGAATTTAACATTTCCTCCAAGTCGGTTTCTGTCAAATCTTTACCTTGCGATTCAAGCAATTCCTGAACATCACTTGATTCTATCTGTTCGAATCCATCCCGTCCTATTCCATTCGCGATGGCTATGTTTGCCATCAAAGTTTGAGCTTGTACAGATTCTTCGTCATTTTCCGCAGTCAAAGCATGTCACTTTTTCCTGTGAAAATCTGTTGTCCATTTTGTCAAACCCTAAAAAATATTCGTAATCTGTGCCCGTCTGTACTTTTTCTTCTACTGGTACTTCTCTACAATCTTCTTCTATTGGTACTTCTCCACAATCTACTTCTTCCGGTAATTCCTCACTAACCAATTCTATCGGTACTTCACCGTACGTTAACATTTGTTTGGTAATTCTAGCGACAGCAGGTTCCAATCCTAATTTACGGGCGTACCACAAATACGCCCCATTAGCCGTGTAACCCATCCCCTCCGAGTTGTCCAACCGCCTCAGGTTCCTTTTATCTCTTTTAAATTTTAACTTAACATCTTCTACTATTATGCGTCCACCTGTTTTTTTTTGTCATTGCCGTAGCTAACTTCCCACCAATGTCCTTCCAGGTAATATATATCCTTTCCAGACCCCACAACTCAGGATAACTCTTTAATAGTTTACTAAAAAGTTCGCCAGGTATGCAGACCATGTTTAATGTTTAATAATATATTAAAAAATGTGTATAATAATGCAAATAATGTTTATAATAATACACACGATGTATATAATAATATAAATAAATTTATATACAATGTTAATATATCCTAAAAAGAAGAACAGAAAAAAAAAGAAATAAAACCATCAATAAGACTTGTTTTAATTTCAAAAAGTAAAAATTCGGTAGAAATTGGAAATTTTTGTTACATAACGGCTTTTTCAAAATAAGTCGTCATATGGCGCCAATATATACATATAGACATATTTACAGTTTATTAAAAATAAATGTCCTTTCATATGCATTATGAGATTCATCACTGTTATAAGAACTAATAAAAGCGCAGCGTTCTTCTTATTTTCTTACTTTAGATTATTCAC